ACTGAAGACATCCAGCGAGATCCTACGAGGAGGACAGAAACCTCGATAACAAGTGATCCCGTATAACACTGACAGAGGCAGAGTGGATACAACCCATTAAACACTAAGCCTTTTTCAGTAGACAGGGAAACAAATGGGCCGGCACTGCACTCGCCCGCACAACTTCCCTAACTGTAAAGGCAGGTAACCATTCACAACTGAGTGAACTGAGGCGTGCCCTGGGAGCAAACAAGCAAACTTAAGGAGAGGTGGCGAGACCTGTGTCCACTTGGCAACCGCCCTCCCCCCTCCCATGTTCAGCAAAACCAGGTGTATAAGATTACGCTACATGAATTTACAGAGGCAGCAAGATCAACTATGCCATGAAGCATCGACCTGTCATATGTTATAATAAATCTAACCTGATACAAGACATCTAACGCGTGTCTCTAGTAATATTTTCTAACTTGAGTCATCTGTGAGAGGAGCTACTTGATGCTCGAGTAAACCCGCGGACTGTGTCCTTCTTCGGTCTAGGATCCCGGCGAAGGATAAAAGAACAAAAATGAATTAGTCGCTGTCTGTGTTAAGCCGCACTTGAAGAAACATTACTCACGCACGGAACACTTCCATCAGTCAAGCCAGGAATGAACTGTCGCTGTGCTGACAAAACGTCGCCAAAAATATAAGACGAACAATTGCCCAAAATGAAATGTTCTTCACAATCCACTGTGTTTTACTGCCCCAAATACGCCAGCAATATTGTATCATAATCTACAGGAAACGATTATTGCACATTCATGTCGAACCCATGACAAATAAATGTATAACATAAACCAAGAACTGTAGTGGTAGCCGACATACACCATTTTACGTTAAACTAAAAAAAAAACAGCACAATATATTTATGATCAAACTAAACCAAACTAACTTTCCTTCAAATTATCTGAATAACTCAGGCAGCTAAAATTTTGATGGTATAACAACAATAACAACATATACAATCAGTGATTAATATCAATATACAGTTATATTTATTTATTAAGCAGAAGAATTTTGTGAGTAAATCTTCATTACGTCGTTTGTCAGTCAGCCACACATTAGACAAAGGAAATTATATTGAGACAAAACAAACAGGCTTATGTTTCAAATTTAGTAGAAGCTAATAAACATGAAGTGAAGATACACGTTTATATACTCTCTTTGCTATGACGGATTTCGAAAAAAACATTGGGTTGAAGGTCGGAAGGCAATAACTCATGAGTGCTGAGTGACCTTTGATCATGTAACCTTGATCTTTGTCCGATCTTGATCAAACACAGGAGGCTCCCAGCAGCGTGACTACCCTAGCGGAGACTTCCGCTGAAGGACGACGCTACTTAGATGAAGATTTGACACAACAACTTTAAGCCAAGTGATATTTGATTAATTAACGCTGTTTACTAGTAACATCAGCCTTAGTCCTAGTGAGCCCCTAACCTAGCCTAACCTAACCCAACCTAACCATTATAAATAAGTTGAGACGGTTAAAATTGGAGCCATTCATCACCGGGCTTCAGTTCTAGTAGTGAGGACACGGCGGAGCCTATAGCAGGACATGGGGTACTACTAACGTCCTGAGGTAACCCGACAGTTTAGGAAGTGTGAGAGTAAAGAACAATCCCCCAACATACACTATGACCTCCACCATCTAGAATCGTGAATGTCATGGCTCTAACCTTGACCTTTAACAAATCTTAACCAAATTCAAGATATTCTGAGGGATGACAAGCAGAGTGCCGTATTGAACGATCGAAGGAAAAAGTCATGAAGCGCTGAGGAGGAAACGCGTCCTAACTTACAGACGGACGAACAAACATGGAAATGTCAGTCACAAGGACACATTGTCGAAATCCGCTATAAAATATCGTTCATTGACCTTAGCTTTGACTTATACCAAGGCTGGCTGTTAACCTGTAGTTCTCCAGGACCAGGCTGATGTACTCAGTCTCAGATCTGCAGCTGTCACTGCCCACAGATAACCGACCAATACACACACACACACAGATATTAACAGTCGCTGTAAACTTATTTACTTTACGAAATATCTGCAAATAACCATCGCGACAGATCAGCTCTGGACACTAAGTCTGCTTGATGAAAATATCAAATGTTCATCAAAACTCTTCATTTGAAAATAAAATTTGGAAGTCAGTTATCTTGACCTTTGAGCGCCTCAAAAAATAAAATCAACTCATCAATGATAAAAAAAACCCTGAAGGCCAGAGTTGGTTACAAAAGTTCAAAAGGAATAATTTAATATTAGGAGTACAGCTTTCCGTGACTTTGACCCTTAAGGTTTTTACTCAGAAATCATACAACTGTGAAGATATTTATCACACAAACGACTCCTCACTCCATAATAGTAGTCTCCAACCTTCGCCACTCTCTGTAATGCTTCACAACCTGATTTTGAACTTTGCATGGCCCTAAACTTTACCTCTCACGTTTTTTCCCCTACATACTAGACACCTATCGTGTTATTTTTTATTAATACAAACTTCTTCTTGTATGTACTGCTTAGCCACACAAGTGTTGATCCGGTGACTCTTAGCATTCAGCAGCTACAGAGTTACCACACCCATTTAACAGGAGACTTGCCCGTCCAAGTGTTCATCCACCATCAACCCAGTAGTGTACCCATTTACTACTGATTGTACAAAGACGAGAGTACGAAGAATGAACCTAAACCCCCCACTCGTGTCAGAACCACAAACGCTCGACCAAGCTACGGAGGCACTACGGTGACTTATCAGTGTGACCGTCAAAAACATCTTGGTAATAAGTAAAAGTCACTTGCTCTATCTGATATCGAATTATTTTGGTCGAAAATATAATCTTGACTTGGACTCTTTTCGGTCAAAAATGTTTTCCCCCCCTTTACCTGACCACCAGCCAAAGAGTGTCACGAGGCAGAAAGCAGGGACCTTTCTCCTCTAGTTGTAATAAATAATTGTGATTCTAATCTTTGTATAGTCTTGACTTCGATCTGAAATATTTAAACTTTTCAAGATGATTGTATTGAATCCTAGAACCAAGTTTCATTCCTTCATCTCATGGCGTTCAGGAGATAACGCTTAAGGGTCTGTCTGATCTTTTGTACGTCCTTGAATCTGACCTTAGACAGATCTCATTTAAGAATAGCTAGTTGTCAGGGACGAGCATAAAAAAAGCTCGTCTGAAAGTTAGGAGACAACAGCTAATAACTGACCCACAGACAAACTGACCCACAGACAAATTGACCCACAGACAAACTGACCCACTGACAATCTGACCCGCAGACAAACTGACCCACTGACAAACTGACCCACTGACAAACTGACCCACTGACAAACTGATTCACAGACAAACTGACTCACAAACAAACTGACTCACAGACAAACTGACTCACAGACAAACTGACCCAATGACAAACTGAGAGAGAAAGGATTTAATTCAGGAGTTTGGAACACCCTGAGGGATGCCCAGCTCACTATAGCAGACTCAAGCAGGTGAAAAATATATTTAAGAAACAGAATCCTTAACCAAATTCATTATATTTTCAACTACACCCAGCAAGTCGGACCTAACCTAACCCAACCTAACCTAATCTAACTTAGGTAAGGTTGAGTTAATTTATATTCGTAGTAATTTCCTAATAATGCTACCAAGATTCTCCTACCACCACCCCCCCCCCCTACCTCAACCTTGCTGGGCATTTTTTTTTTATTATTATTTCTCATCAACAACAGGAAATGAGGAGAAGCTGGAAGGTTACATCGCGTCACCACACCTGTCGAGGAGGAACTGCAGTGAAACAGTGATGTAGGTCTTATGCTCGTTTGATTCATATAGCGTTTTTGTATAGATCAATGTTGGTAGTGTGGTGGTGAGTTTGGTTGCTTGGTTAATTATTATTCGTTTAAGTATGTTTGCTTTGGTTGGTTATGGTTAGCGATTGGTTGTTTGTTATTGGGTTATTTTTTGGTTGTCATTTGGCTGAAGATGTCGTTAATTTCGTTAGGTTAAGGTATTGGAAAATAATCGATATTATCTGGCCATTTTTGCAAGTGTGATTGATATCTGGGTTCTTATAGGTCATAATCATCATCATCATCATCATCATCATCATCATCATCATCAACAACATCACCACCACCACCACCACCACCACCACTGTCACCACTACTGGCATCGCCACCACCACTATCACCACCACCACCACCACCACATCCTTCACCACCACCATCACTACCTCCTCCACCACCATCACCTACTTAACCACCACCTCCATCACCACCGCCTACATCACCACCACCATCACCACCATCACCATCGGTCAGTAGAGCAACAGATGGTCACCCCAGTACTCATCAACAACACAGTACAGTACCGCGTCCTCCCCTTATCCCTGCAGTGCTTTTTATCTTCCCCGGTCAATAAAAGTTCACTGTAAATTAATTAGTTCTTATACATTACACTGTGTATGGGTTTATTAGTTATCCAGAGGTTGTGTAGAATTATTGGCATTAGGTTGACTCTCAATACTTTGTGGTTGACATTTGATTCATGACTGGTTGCTTCTCTCAAGTAAATTCCGTTAAACAGAGTGTGTGTGTGTGTGTGTGTGTGTGTGTGTTTAAGGGGGTCACATAGAGGTTCATCAAGGGAATAAGACGATGAACATTAATAATACAAATGTTGATCAGAGAGTTGGTAAGGGAGCGAGATAATGACTCGTGTGTTTGTATGTCGCATTGCTTCATCTTGTGCCTTGATCACAGTTTACACTACATGGCGCCGCTGCTCATTAAACAAAACAATTTATTCTCCTTGCGTCAAGTTTCACTCATGCTTAACTAACAAAGGCAGTGAGAGACATCATATAAACTACTACAAATGCTCTAACCAGTGTTTTCATACTTCTCGTAGGACATACATCTAGTGGGTGGAGCTGATGACAAAAACTCAGGATTCAGGGAAGTTTGCACGTACGTGTGTTG